TTAGGCATTGGGAATTCACTAATTTTTACTAGTTATCTTTCCGGAGATTCGTTCATAAAGATACCGTAGAAAACCCCTGAGGCTCTCTCTTCTGTTGTTAAGTTTTTAATTACTATTTTCTATTTTTTTCTGTTTCTTTTATTGCTTTTTTTTTTTAGGTAGGTTGGGTACGGGGTAAGGGGATAAGGAGGGGGGAGGGGGAGGGGGAGGGAGGAGGAGGAGGAGGAGGAGGAGGAGGAGGAGGAGGAGGAGGAGAGGGGGAGGAGGAGTAGGAGGAGGAGGAGGGAGGAGGAGGAGGAGGAGGAGGGGGAGGGGGAGGAGGAGGAGGAGGAGGAGGGGAGGAGGAGGAGGAGGAGGAGGAGGAGGAGGAGGGGGAGGAGGAGGAGGAGGGGAGGGGAGTAGAGGAGGAGAGGGAGGAGGAGGAGGAGGAGGAGGAGGAGGAGGGAGGAGGAGGAGGAGGAGGAGGGAGGGAGGGGGAGGAGGAGGGGGAGGGAGGGTGGCTATGGGGTTTATAAGATTGCGTACAAGGCAAACAAACAAAGGCTTTTTAATTTTAAAATCTCTGGCATGACGAAATAGCGGTCATTCGTTTTCATTCGTCTTATATTTTCCTTTATTTCTCTTTTTTCCTTTTCCTTTGTTTCTTGCTCTCTATCTTAATTCCTTCATTTTATGGGGCACGTGCTAGATTAGATTTTGTTTTATCTTGGCACTGGTTAGTGAAGGAGAAAAAAAAGAAAAGGAAGCGATAATAATAACAAAAAAAGGAAAAGAGGGAATGACATAAAAAACAAGAAAAACGAAAATAATAAAGAATAAGTAAAAACCTAAGAAAGGAAGGAGAAAAGAAGGATTTCCAATAACAAGAGTCTATTGTATATACATAAGCACCATCACCTAAAAAGAACCCGCACAGACCCCGAAAGGAAGAGAAAGACGAAGAGAAAAAAAAAGAAATAAAAAGAAAAAAAAAAAGTCATTAATATTCCCCCCCTATATTAGCATAACCCATGTCTCGCATTTGGTCGCTCTTTAAAAGTGTTCAGTATATCAGCTCCCTTCCGAACTTAAAATTCATACGAGATAAGGGGCGTTCACTGGACCGTCGCAAGCCAGGCCAATACTGAATCTGCAATCTGCATCAAATTAACAACGGCAATTGATTTCTTCCCGAGGCCGGCCGCCGCTACGGAATTACGCAGGCAGGAGTCAGCGACGGCTAACTCAAGCAGAAAATAGTGTCGACCTACTGGAGCCATCTGCTGGAATCTATTGCCTCTGCTTCTGTCCAGACGTGTTCTAGACGTGTGTTGGGAGATGAAAGAGGGGGAGGGAGGGAGGAAGGGAGGAAGAGAGAGAGAGAGAGAGACAGAGAGAGAGACAGAGACAGAGACAGAGACAGACAGACTAATAGGGAGGCAGACAAGCAAACAGATAAGAAGACAGGCAAAACAAACAGAAAAAAATGGGGGGAGACAAGCAGACAAACAGACAGAAACACACAGACAGAGAACTTAGCTGCGGCTTACTCAAGCAGAAAATACTAGCGACCTGCTGGAGCCAATCCTCTGCAATCTATTACCCTTTTTTTCTCTCTCTCCACACATGTTTTGGTTAAAAATGGATTACGGGTTTTTGCTGTGGTGTAAAGTGCTTCCCCAAGGCGTTAACTTTGGCCCGGTATTTTGTTTCATGTTGTTTCGAAGCTTCGGAAAAAAGAAAAAGTATGAATAGGAATGTATGATTTCTAGAAGGCAAGATGAACTATTGACGTTTTGAGTTTCATAATCTTCATTGATCTTCAAGAGAGACAGAAAATTGGGCCGTCAGTAGTTCATTTTTCATTGTGATTTTTTTTTTCAATCTATATCCAAACTTTTCTTCAATCACGAACTCATAATAACGATGATGATACCGTCAACCATTATGATAAGCATAATGATTATAACAGAGATAATGCTATGATAATAACAATTACGATGAAATGAATATTGTAATAATTTTATAATGATTATGATGAGATGCAAATGATAACTATTATGATAAAAGGTATAACAGAAACAATTATAATGATTATAGTAATAAAAATGCAACACTGCACCAAAAACAGCTAATAATAATGATGATACTAATAATAACGATAATAAAAATGGTGATAATAGAGCTTATTGCCAATGTTATAACTTTCATCCATTAAGCCGGACCATCGACATATCCATATTGGACATTAGGGAAGAAAAAATGTGTTGTTCCGAAGATTAGCTTAACATGTGACAAAACTTTTCATTCCGGCTTCCTAATCAGAGTGACCAAATTATGTAGCCTCGAATTCTTTCTTTTTTTATCATCTCTCTCTCTCTCTCTCTCTCTCTCTCTCTCTCTCTCTCTCTCTCTCTCTCTCTCTCTCTCTCTCTCTCTCTCTCTCTCTCTCCTTCTTCCTCTTCATCTTTTTCTTCTTCATCTTTCTATTTTTATTATCCTTCATCGTTTTTCTCCTTATTTTGTCAATCCTTAACATAAAAAAAATGAAAAATAATTTCCAAAAAATGTTTCAACCCACGAAACGAAACGCAAATCGAGACGAAACTCGCTAAAATACGATCGACTTTTCGACAGTACTCAGACCAGTCGACTTACCCCATGGATGGCAATCTCGACGACTGGTTAGGGGCGGAGTAGGGGGGGGGGCAGGTATACCTTCTTGCAGCCTTGTGTACCTCCCGCTATGCTGCTCTTTTCAGCCTCCCTATATATGTAGCCTGTAAAGCGTTCCCGCCCTTGTCCGCCTCCGCCTTCAAGCACAGGCAGGGAGGCAAGCAGAGGGTCACGGGCGCCTGGGGTTGTTAAGACGCTTTTAGATATCGGCAGAGTGCGTCGTCGGTGCATGAGTTGCTTAGAGAAGGTAGAGGGGGAGAAGGGGGTGGAAAAGGGGAGAGGAGGTAGAAAGAGAGGTAGATAGAGAAAGAGAGGGAAATAGAAAGAAGGAAGAGAGGGAGGTAGAAAGAATGAAAAAGGATGATAGAAAGAGAGTGAGAGAGAGAGGGAAAGAGGGGATAGGAAAAAGGAAAAGAAATGGATAGAAGAAGGGAGAAGCGGAAGAACAGATAGCAAGGAAAAGGGAGATAGAAAAAAAGGGAGAGGAAGAAGATCCAGACAGAGAAAGATAGAGTTAAAGAAATAGGATAAGAAACGAGATCCGAGATGGACAAACACATTTCCAGACACGAGAGAAAGAAAGAACGAAAGGGAAGGGACAAAATACTAGACAAGGGACCGTCTGGGTAATGCAGGAAGGGGGGGTGGGGGGAGCAGCATTAGCACCCCGGGGAGATGACACGAGGTTACGCACGATCAAACTGCCCCTAATGCCGTGCACGGAACCTCGTTAAGCCGGCATGTATTGGGCATAGAATGGGGCATTGAAGGGAGGGAGGAGAGAGGGACGGGGAGGTGGAGGGAGAGGGAGGGGGAGGGGGGGAGACTTAACGAGGGTGGAATACAGATTTCTTTACAATCCTTATTTTTCCTGTAGAAAGGCAAGGAGGCTTGTGGGTAGATATAAATACTTTTAATGGAGACCGAAGTGTGGAGGCAAGATGGAAGCAGAGAGAAAGAGAAAGAAATAGACCAGACGGACAGACAGATAAACAGACAGACAGACAGACAGACAATCAGACAGACAGACAGAGACAAGCAGACAATCAGACAGACAAACAGACAGACAGCCAAACAAAGAAACAGACATATACGGACAAACAGACAGACAGGCAGACAATCAGACAGACAAACAAACAAACAGACATACAGACAATCAGACAGACAGGCAGACAATCAGACAGACAAACAATCAGACAGACAAACAAACAGACAGACAGACAGAGACAGGCAGACAGACAAAGACCGGGAGAAGCAGCCAACTTCTTATTTACTTCACCTGTATTGCCAGGACATGAGGCAAAAACCCGAGGGCCCGACATAACTGAGGTGAAGAGAACCTCGGGCTTCTTCAAGTTATGAGGGGGGGGGGGAGAAGGGGGGTTAGGAGAGGGGGAGGGAGACTAACATAGGGGGGTTGAGAGGTAGTAGGGGGGGGAGGCTGATATAGGGGGCAAGGGGTAGGAGAGGGGGGAGTTGATGTAGGGGTCGAGTGGGGGGTAGGAAGCTGCTATCAAGTAGGAGATGGGGGGGGAGGGGGGGGGGAGCAATCTACTATAGGGGTAAATGGGTGGGGTTTAGAAGGAGGAGGGGGGGGTGGGGGGGTTCGCAGAGACACGATCACGACCCAATTAGTGGCTTATGTAGAGGGAATGAGGAGGTTCGGGTAGGGTGGCGAATCGGCGTGGCTGGTAGCATATGGCTGCGCTGGGAGGGCGGGAGGGGGGGGGGGTAGGGGTCCAGGTTAGGGAGGAACGAAAGAGGGAGGGAGGGAAGGGATACATATGATGGGAGGGAGGGAGGGGGAGAAGGGGGGAATGAGGGAGGAGGAAGGGGGGATGAGGGAGGAGGAAGGGGGAGAAGGGGGGTATAGTAGAAGGGGGAAGGGGGGATGAGGGAGCGAGATAGATGGGAAGGTAAGGGGGAGGGATGGATAGATGGGAGGGGGGGAGGGGGTAGGTGAGATAGAAAGGGGAAAAAAATGCGATAGGGCAGATAGCTTCTTGCAATGACACGGGTAGTCCCCGTCTCACCTAAAAAAAAAATCGAAAGGAAAGCGATAGCATTAACATTGTGCATCTATTCCCATCAATATAACCCAAGATCACCCTCGCTCTCGCCCACACGTCCAAAACAAACATCTCCCACAATAAACACACTTGAAATATAGACCATAGATGACCACCATAAATCCCATTCGCACAAAAGCCTTGTTCTCAAGCAACTCCAAACTCATCGACTCGAGAGATCTCCGGTTCGGCTATCACGCGGACCCAAAAGCAACCTCAAAGACATTTTTATGAATGTTGCTCTTGATTAGGCAACATTCATTGCTTTTTGATATC